ATAAATAATAATTAGAGGCATTTCTATTTATGGTTGTAAAGAAAAATATATTAAATAATATTGATGTCGTAGACATTAGCCACATTGTTAAAAATTAAAGTGATTTATTATAGATAAAAATGTATAAAAAAAAAACTATGTGTATTTTTCTTTAAATTTTTATACTATATAATGAGATTGGTGATATACCTACGATTGCGTACGAAAAAATGAGTGCAAAATGACCAACATAATCTACTTAGTATTAAGTATTATAATTTATAACAAAAGTAATATTTCTAATAGACACGGTAAATTATAATATTATTAATTTTTATTATAATAATAAATATTTATATCATAAAATATCAGCTTATACGTCAATTAAAAATTTAATAACATTTTTCTGTAAATACCTTAAAACAGTAAAAATATATTCATATAGTACTTATAAATAAATAATATTTTAAAATAAATCAAATTCATAAACATATAAAATACATAAAAGTTTAAGTTCCCGTAAATAATGCTTTTAAATTATAACAAAATATAATTCACTGTTTAAATAAGTAATTTCTTCCAAATTGAAACTTAAAATGTATATAAAAAAATTTATTTTTAGACTTTTTTTAGATTTTATAGTTTCAATATGAATTATTTATGAAAAATCTTGTATCAAATTTTTGAAAATTGTATACAAAAATAAAAGTTTTTATACATTTTTAACAACATAAAAGTTTGCAATTTTTACGAATTTTGTCAAAATTTTAACTTTAAAAACTTATAAAATATAAATATAAATTTTCGATTTTTTTTTAACTAAGAAATTAATAACTTATGAGGAGCTTTGCATTAAATTTTCAAGCATTTTTACCTAGAAAACAGTTTTTAACTAACATTTATAAAAAAAAATAAAATAAAATATTTCTATAAATAGTTTAAAAATAGCTATAAAATTTGTTAAAAATGTTATTGTTAATATTAAGCAATAATTTAAATATTCGGTATAAAATTCAAGTTTCTACGGTTATTCGTTTTCAAATTATAGGTATATATCTAAAAAACAAAATTGATTTTATCAAAAATTGGATTTGTGTAAAAATTTCAGTTTTTTCTAAATTTTTTGTTTATTTTCCTAATTATAAAAATATAAGAAACTGAAGTTCTGAAACTAATTGTAATTTTCAAACTTAAAAATACACTGGAGTTTAATCATTTTGCTTGAAAATAGTGAGTTTTTCTTATTCAGCGTTGAAAATTATACATGAAACATTGAAACGACATCTATCTTGTTCTTCATGAAAATTTAAGATGTATTCTCTGAAACCTGACCCCTCATATACATGTATAATTCAGTAAAAGTTCAAATTATATATTAAAACCTTTGTATTCTTAACTAGTCACCGACAATTTTGATACAGGGATAAACAGTCACAGTAACGTCTATTAAACTTTATTAAAAAATGCACTCATTTATTTTGTTTAATAATATTAATTTATACTAATATACTCGTATTATCAATTTGAAGACAAGGTGTTCTAAAAATTTCAAATAAACATATATTTATACTTTATACCCAAAACAGGTCATCCGGGTCCCTGTAGGACTATGTAAGTAGTACAAGATATTACAATATTGTTAGATATTTAAAAAGCTTTTTTGGGAATTAAAGTTTTTTTTATAATCCACCATTGCGTTGTTGTGACTTTTAGTCCAACTGTAATCATCGTGTTGAATATAAAAATGATTTATACCACAATATAGTATACGTAGGATCTATTTGTCCGTATTTAAAGTTAAACAATTTTAATTTTGATCAGAGCAACTTTATATTACTGTTTTAGGGTAGTATTTTTTTTTTTTCGTTTCTACCGAAACTTTTGTATAACATACAAGATAACATGATATATTTATATACTATGTATAAGAAGAACGGCGGCGGCGGCGACGGCGACGGCACGCATGCGTCTACTGTCTTGCGAACGAAACGTCCGTCAAAAGCGCACCGAGCGAACGGCACGTACAAAGGTTAGGTAAAGGTCTAAGCACGCCGTAGAAGTGTTCTTGCGCTGTACAGCTTAAAAAGAAACGGTATAGCGCGAGAGGAAACGCCATGGCCCGCCGGGAAAGGTATAGATTTAGGGGTGGCAGCAGCCAGTGGGTCGTATATATATTGTGTACATCTGCGGCTGTATAGGTAGTATGTGTTTGTACAGGGTGAACATTTTATCGCGAATTCAAAATTTGTGTATACACGATATTTAGTGCGGCTACGGCGGTGAATATATTATATGAACCAAAAATAATTATTTTAAAAATCGTTCTAGTGTATGATACTATATATATTATATATATATCACCGTTAAACATAAAAATAATATTATAATATATCGTCTATAAACATGCATTTATTTCTACCGAAACTTAGATTTTTTTAAACAATAAGTTTTTTGTATACTTTTATTATATATATAAATCTTATTTTTACGATTGCACATGTTGTCGATGAATTTATTTATAATATTATAAATATGTGATTTTGTACACCGTTCCACTACGCCAAATACTATCTATATGTACTGTAACATAGACTATAGTTGTATGTTTTACTGTCTTAAACAATTTTTAAAGGTTGCCTGCTATGTACTCGAGTTACAAGACGAAATCGGGTGCAAATGTTAAGACTAAAAACTTAATATACCTGTTAATAGTAAAAAAAAATGTTCTCGTTTCACTCTAAAAGATTTTGTTATAATTTCGTAATATTACGAATTCTATTGAGTATTTTTGTGCTTAATATTTGAAATTATAAAAATATACAAATTATTTTGTACTGATAAATTTTTGAAAATCAATTCTTTTCAAAAATGAATAATATTTAAACGAAAAATACAATATTAGTTATAATTTATTATACATTTATTATTTAAACAATATTAATTACAAAGACTCGAAAATGTCCATCATTATCATTTTCTATTTAAACTTTGAAATATTTTAACTAATATTATAAACTGGTCTAATTTTGGTTTTCGACCAGAGCGATGAATGTATTAATTTTACTATGATGTATTTATTTTTTTGTGGTTGAGTACTCGATAAGTTATTGATAAAATACTTTGATTTTCTAAACTGAAAATTGTTTTAGATTTAAAATTGGATTTAGTTAATACTCTAGAGAAGTCAAATTTAAATTTTTTTACATGAATATAAAAAAATAAATAAAACAATCAAAGAAAAACAGAAATTTTTACGCAAATCCAATTTTATTTTTTTTACATAAGTTGATAAAATATTGCATAAATATGTGTTATTGTAATAATAAAATATTAATAATATAATAAATACAATATTTTTGGAAAAAATTATACCATTCTACTATAATCTTAGTGGTAAAATAAATTACTTTAATTACTATTTTAAAAACATATCATGAAATAAATTCAGTGATATAGTATACAATGATTTATTATTAAATTCAAGTTTAATACACTCATAAAAGTGACCCACTTGATACCTAATATACTTATATACTTATATACATCACAGCAGTACCCACTTGCCTACCTTTTTGTTTCTATAGTCTTATGTTTAATGTTCAATGAATATTAATTTTTAGGCTTAAGTAGGACTTTAAAGCATAATAAACAACAAAAAAACATAAAATTATTTGAAAAAAAACAAAAAATAACCAAAAATTAACTTAAACAGGTTATAAAATAAAATAAATAAAAATGAAAAAATAATTTAAATTAATTTAATAATTGACAACCATTATTTAGCTAGATTTCCAGTTGTGAAACTGACTTTATTGTCAGTCAAAATGTTTTTGTATACGTCAAAAACGAACGCTCTACATCCATTGAAGTGATCAGTGTGTAGTTCATACAAACTAATGAGTTTAATCCAAACCCGTGGTAATCACTAATCAATAACTGATGAAACATCGCAGAGTATGTTGTTATTAATGTCTTGTCATTTTTTCCAGCCTGGTCGGCGATAACACAACGTTTAATTCATTTACATATATTCAAACCGATAAAATAATGCAAAACAGGACCAAAATATAAATTTTATATTTTAATTTATAAATAATTAATTATAATGAGATTAATAATAATGATAAATCGCCCCACTATTATATTACAAGCTATAAAAACTATTTATATGGACCATGACAATGAAAGTGTAAATAAACTGCTTATGTATAGTGTCAACTGTCAACTAGTGTCGACTCGCTGTCATTGTTAAATATTTATATATACATATAAATATATATGCGCATGTGGCTTATGAATGCGATATTGTATACAAATCTGTAATCCAACACAGCTGATACCATAATATACGTATTGTTAACCGTCATATCGTCACATCTCTTTTCTCGCTCGTTTAAATATCAGTTCCTTTACCGCTCGGAAGCTTCTGTGCCAGCGAGAACCATAATCCCTATCCGTTATGTCGGCCCAAAAGTGTATATACAATACGTGTACGCCTATTCAGCCAAGTTGTAGGATGAATGCCGCCGAATCGGATATCCGTAAGTGTTTTAAAGTTTAATAATAATATCAACGCTCACAGCTCACCAGTGCTTCTATATACACACCTATTATTCTGTTACACGTATCGCAATATCGTAAATTTTCAAACGTGTACCTACCTATATACACACTCGTATAGGTACACATAACGGTAATATTAAATTTTTTATTTTATTCTATGCGAGATGTATTATTCAGTTGGACCCGCGGCGCGGCGGTTGAAAAAAGTTACCCCCTCCCGAACGCATACCGGCCCCTATAGTCGTTGTTGTTAGAAAATGGTCCGCAAGTACATTCGCGTATACCTACATTTGAACGCTTTTATGATTACGACTACCCACCCTGCCGACAGTGTCTGCGCACGCTTACTTACCGACGTATATGTGTGTGTGTGTGTGTGTTGGCGCACATCGCGGACGAGTGTGCGCCCTAAGACGGATCCCGCGCTACAACATAGATCAATAACGGTGTAACGTCGTTCCGGAGGCGTCTACATCGCGCTCGGACACGCAACCCACACGAACACAAACGCAAACAAATACGCACACACACATACACACGAAAACACAAACATACACACACACACGCACACACACACACAAACACACACTGGCGCGCGTTTATGAGTCTTTTTGCGTACGCGTAAACGCGGCAGTGCACATACGCCGTGCGACCGGCTCGCGTGACGGTCGCAATTGCGTGAATGTAGTGTGTGTATGTGTGTATGTATGTATATGTATGTATATGTGTGTGTGTGTGTGTTCGCGTGCTTGCAGGAAGTTCAATACACATAAACTGCAACCATTATTCGTGCCGAAAAATTGAATGCAATCCGTTTCCATCGATCTCGCGTAAGTACCTAAATAAGTATTATACCTATACCGACGGCGCCACCGCCGCCGCCGCCGCGTGTGTCTCGTATGCACGCGGTCGTAGTATTATTATTTATTATAATAGCAATAACATTAATAATTATAATTAATGTTAAGTATTTAAGTATTAGGTATAATATGTATTTTAACGACACGACTGTGCGTACGGACGTCGTACGTCGTAGGTTGAGGGAGGGTCGTCAACCATCTTTTCGGACGAGTGAGCTATACCGCGGTCATCACGATCAGCTAGAAAGATCGCGATTGGTTGGCGATCCCTGCTCTAGGTGATTTAATCGGCACAGTGCAGCGTGCTTTCGGCTGCCGCGAAGTACTTATAATTGTATTCGGAATTTTCGCGTCCCGTGCTGATTTTCGCCTGTTGTAATCTACCTATACTATAAGTAGATACTATATAATATGATGATATGATTTATAATGTCTGTATATGTTTAATATATACTTAATTATGTTCGAGTAACGTTGTACAAATAAATAGGAGACAATATCAGTAAACAATAGAATTATTTTTTAAGTAGATTTTATGATGGGAACGAAAGCAATTGCTTTATAGATTGAAACTTTACGTCTTGCGATATCTAGTCGTTTCTGCTCTCTTCTGAAAAATATTAATAATCTTACTAAATAATATCCAAAAGAAATGACTTAGAAAATATTTCTTAAATTTTAAGAATATATAGTATAAATAGTACTTAAATATTTAAATAAATCAACGTCCTATGTATTAAAGATTAAATTTCTTGGTGCGAAAAACTTGAATCATAATGGTGGTTGAAGAATAATAATATTCTCAGAAAAAAAAATCCCAACCTTCCTCCTGATAATCATCATTAATTACGTGTCTATGTAATGTTATACATTATATTTTGATTTGTTTTTAATTCAATTATATTTCTAGTGTAAAATATCTCGATTACACATATTATATATTTCATGTTTATAAACTATGTATATAATATATACAAGTATATAACTGTTGCATTTTTTCACACTTAATATTTGATTATAACCAACAAAAAAAAAAAATCGATAAAAATAATAAAACGACGTTTGGATGCTAGTCATGTATCACCATCGCAACGCCATGAATAATAATAATAATAATAATAATAATATAGTGTAGTCCTTGTCGTCCTGATTGAACCGTCTCTCGTCGACTGCGGTGTAGTCGTTCGCTGTCACTCCCCCTCATCAGTCGTGCGAGAACTATGGGTGACAGCATCTCGCGAAACCATTATTATAGTTACGATTTTTGTTAATCGACTTGATCAATTTTTGTACTTAAACTTTTTTCGAGTTCGTCGCATAATGCATACACCTATATCCATCATCTAGAAGTATATTAAATACACGTTAAAATGCTAGATGTAATCATAAAAAATAAACAGGTATACTTGCAGTGTATAATAATATACAATACTAATTTTAACGTTTTCGATGCTTTTCATCGTATTGCGAATGTGAAATAATAATTAATATCGTTACGTTTTCCTCTCTGTATAAAGCGTACTGCAGCAGCGTTGATAATGAAAAAAGAGAGGAAAAAACACTGCAAGGACAAAAACAAGAAACCTCCCTCGGATTCATGTTCGCCCGGTTGCAGCAGTATGGATTGTATGGGTCTACAGCAAATCCCCTCGTCGCCGCCGCCAAGTTACGAACACAGCTTGCAGGAGGTAAAAAAATATTGTTAACCTAACACAATACTAAGAGCAAAAAATCCATTTATTCGAGTTTAATAATAAGTTTTGAGTATTAAAAACAGATTAAATATCAAAAACGCGCATTTTAATTGGATTGATTCTACAAAGCCAGATGAATTATTATTAATTAATTATCATCGCTTTGTCATTTATATTTTTTTGTTGCCTGGATTGATTTTATTTGAAATTTCATACCGACATAATAAAATAAATATCAAGTATAAAATAAATTGTTATTATGTTTGTCAGATAAAATTATTAATTAATTATTATTATTATTTATTTTTATTTTCCATAATAATCAACAACAAACTGTCAATTACTGTTTCATTTTTATAATTATGTAAAGATCATTTAACAATAAGTCATAAATATGAATGGTACGATACATAAAAGTGGTATTAAAAATTATTTTTCACAGGTCTATTTAAAATATTAATTGTTTTAGATAATAAGTAAGACTTAAAATCGATTTTAATGTGATCATACCTGATATAACTTTGATGTATGAGTTGAGTTAACATTCTCTTGCATAAGGTTTAATATTTACACACATAAAATAGCATATATATCCGGTTACTTTATTAAATTATTCACAAAGAGTTATGTATTATGATCCGAAAATTCATAGGGATTGGACCCAGAATCAATTATACTTGTAAAGTAAATATTATAAACTTTGGGTTTTTGCCTCCAGACCTCTCTTTCTGTACCTACATATTATACATAGCTGTATAAATATCTCAAATCCCGATAAAAAGTTATTAAATAAAGAAAAATTAATCTCTTTTATTTTTATAGTAATACATTTTTAAAATAACAAAAACTTATCATAAATAAATATTAAATTTAATAAAATATTTCACAAAGAGCTTAAAACTGCTTAGGGATTTACGGTTATGAAATTGACGTTGCGTATAATACTGTTTGTCTAACCTGTAAAATAAAAACGTAATTATAATTGTCAGGGAAAATTCTACACTTAAAAAAAACTAAACTATTACGTTTTTTTTTTTTTTTATATATATTCATATATCGATTTTATAGGTACATTTATAAAAAATATTAAAACTACAAACTTATAAAAATATATATACTTACATAATACCGTTTATAATCTGCGTATAGCTTTACACTTATGTTCTGCTCGTAAGTCATATAAACTCATGTATCGGTTATGTGTTTTTTTTTTTTTTGTTTTTAGCCGGGAAAATCTTCCGATTACGGTGGTCATCAACAGCAGATGGTCACGGACGATGACACTTGCGCTGGAGGAAGTGGAGTGCAAACGTGCTCTGAAATCGAATGCCAGAGTAATGGTTCGCCCGTAAGACAAGAAATATTTCATAAGAGTAGCAAAGAGTTTTATAAGGCGGTCGCTGCCCAATTGGGTATAACGTGCAAGATGAGCGACCATTGCAGGTGTCTAGAATGCCAGGTAAAATGTTATTTCCAGAAAATATCGAGGTATAAATATGAGCAGTTCATAATATGTTTTTTTTTTTTGGATTTGGTTAAATGTCGAACGTAGATGGCTATATTATTTACATATACACAGAAGGCTAAATTATGTAAGGATATCGGTCTAATTTGTCTTATAAAAAAATTACATAGAAAAAAAATATGACTTACAAAGCTAGGTACTTATTTAAATAATAATATACTCATAGATCATACATTAGCAAAAAAATTCATCTAAATTCCAATTTTTTTTTTATTCATTTCATATACAAAAATAAACTATAGCTTAAAGGTCATTTTACTAAAATTATTTTTTGAAAACACTTTACACTAAACTTGTACTTAAAAACCTAAAATTATGATTTTATAATTTCAGAGCTAATTTAATACAAACATATCATGATCAGCGATTTCTATTTATTATTTTGGAAACATAATTTAAATTTATATGATTATAAACTTAAATAGATTTTTTGTTTATTTTTCTACGATTAACTTATGAAATTCGATTTAAAAGTGTTAAAATCAGTTTTGGCGGCCATATCGTACATTTTTGAAAATTTATCAGTCTTCCAGATCATTTTTAAAACGAATCTAGCCATTAACAAAGGCTTAGAACAATAAAAACCTAACGCTGCATTAAACTTATGATCTGGATTTCATTCTTAAATATAATATTACAGCGACATAGTCTTATATAATTACGTACAGCCAATCTAGCCAATCTAGCTTCACTCATTAGAAATTAAAAAAAAAATTTCTATGTAAATATTTAACATGCGATTCTCGTGGATTTGTACTACTAGTGCCAACATTTGTACGACAACCGCGGTTTACTAGGAAAATTGAATTTCAACGGATAAACCAATAGTATAGCTATATAAAATATTTTTATGATATATACGTGTGGTCTTACAAAGTGTGAACACGCAATGTATACAGAAAAGTCCATTAAAGGATTGTTGTTTTATTATTATTATTATTATTATTATTATTATTATTGACAGTTCTGGTAAACAATCATAATATATAATACTATATATATTACATACAATTCATTTCACCCTATACTGAATCACTTACTTGATATTATTTATTTTCGTCATAAATAAGGGAATTGCATTGTTTTTAAGTGTCACCCTGTCAATTAAAAAATAAATAAATAATGATAAAACCCACTTCGTGCAAAACCAGTCAAATCCGTCCAGCCCAGATGTACTATTTAATACCATGTACTTAAAATGGTTTCATTTAAGTGTTTTTCTGAGTGCTTTGATATTTTCCGGTCTTAGAACGATTAAACGGTTCTATATACTTTTTTCATCTTTTGTTACGATTTAAAAATATTTACACATCATACATTTTTTTATAGTTTAACCATATAATATAGTTTCATATCATATCTTATTGCGATACTGAAAACGTTTGCTATCACAATAGTATCTAATACTTATTGACAAGTTAAAATATATCATTATATTATGAACTGAAACCAAATATGTAATGAAACGAAATTTATGAAAAAGTTTTTATAATAATATTATTAAGTAAATAAATATTCGATAGTTTTCATAAGATTAAGTTGATTTCACGTTTCAAATTCACATCAAAACATCGGTTACTCATTTGATTTATAATGAATTAAAAAAAATGTATTACCAATATAGATGCCTACACCTATCAGTTTTGTAAGGGTTGTAATCTAAATAATAGATAAAAAGCATTCGGAATACGTATTTTAAATTTTAGTTCTACTTAAAAAATATATTCAGTACCAATTATATTCGAATACTTAAAAAAGTATTTCTTTCCCACTAATATAATATAATATTAATTGTTGAATGATTCAAAATTAATTTTTATAATTAATAAATCAACATAATATTAAACGAAAAATACCTATGTGTTGTATTTAGTAGTTATAAATTATGCCCAGAGCCACAATTAATGCTGAGTAGGTAGAAACAATATATATATTATTTAAACTATTACTTAAACAAATATTTATTTTTTTAAATTTATTTTAACATAATACATCAACTCATACTGAATTATAGTAATGAGAGCTGTAAATTGTAAATTGTAATACATTTACCAACTGAACTAAACTGGTATCTGTAATCTAATACTGGAGTTTTTAAATACATATAATTTGTTTTACGACGAGATTCTTATACAATTATAAAAAATAATTTATAAACATATCTAACCTAACATATAGGTACGTATTTATAAATTACATAATATCTTAAATTCATATCGATTCTGTAATTAAGTTAGAACTATTTATATTTATATTTACACATATTACCATTTTATAAGTCTATCTATGCACAGTGCACACATATTTTACTGATTGATTTTTTTTTATGATTTTCATAATTTTATTTATAGAACTGGTATTAGGAAAATTAATTTTGCACAAATATTTTATAAAAACCTTTACAACGTTTTCTAAATTACTAAAATTCGTTTTTACGACTAATGAGGAGAGCGTAAACTGATGATTATTGCTGTTAAAGGTAGTTTTATTTACTTTCCTGTTACTTCGTCTACTATTTCTTTGACATTAAGTCTGTACCTTATAATAGATTCTATTAAAATTCGGTTAATGTATAATTCATACGTTGATTAAAAATATTTGTTTTGTCATAAATTTGAAACCTTTTTTATAGTTTAAATGTACAAAATACAAAAATACATGAAAAGTATTCAAATACATTTTTTGAATATTTATTTATTTTTTCGGAAATTATTAAAAATAGTATGCATTTTAATATTTATATATAAATCTATTGACCTATCTATATATTTTATTTTACTATATTACCTATATTATTAAATATACACCTACCGATATACTATCATCACAAGCGTAGCCGATTATTTAGTTGCATTTTTAGACGGTTACTTAATCTATTAATTAATGCACTTTTTATTAGTTTTCTTATTTTATGATAATATATTTGTGCGATTGTATATTATTATTACACACATGCGAAACAGCCTTTGCAATAAATGTATAATATAGCTATTACATAAAAATAAAATGGAATTTACACACAGATGTAGTTATCTAATGTTAATGATATATAGCTACATTAACACAAAATGCTATCAACGATTTCATGCAATCGCATACATTACAACCGAACGTAATAAAAGTCTTTACGTAGATGGGCAAGTGACCATAAATCCTCTAAGATATTCTACTCAATTTGTCGTATAATTGTATAATTTATGTTTTTTATGATATTATCGACTATCATTGTATTCGTCATTACTTATTGTCAGGGCCGTACTCAGCTTTGACGGAAATCGAACAAACTAGTAATTCTTCCGGGCCCCCTTATTTTCCTTAGGGTTAGGCCTGATTTTTTGAAGAAAAATTTGTCTTACTACACACAAAACCTAATAATTAATGATTAATGTATAATACATAATAATATTATGCGGATGCAATGTTAATAAACGAACAAGTTCTAAAAAGTGGTAGGGGGCTCCCACCTAAGCTACGGCCGTCAGGATTTTTAATTTTTTTGTAAGCACGGGTCTCTTTAAAGTAGATTTAGGGGGCTGAACCACGGACAAATAACCGGAGAAAACCAGCCAGAGTACCTACGGCTCTGTTTATTATGTAAACGTGTTAATATACTTACGCATTTGCCAATATTTCTGTTCGCATATATTATTAATCACATGTTGATTAAAATAAGTATATCTATCATTCTATCATAATATGAACTAAGCGGTTTGATTTATTTTTATTTTAATCAAATAATAATAACTATAATATAGTTCTATATTATTTTTTCATAGAGTATAGATCATTAGCCAACTAACATCATGTTTATATCATGCCATATTTTCAAACGTAGTGTTTATGTAGCTTTAAGTGTTTTTGTCATTTTATTCATGATATTTATTTATTTTTTATTGTTATACTACCACATTTTATTAATTATTAATTATTATTTTTTATGAGTATGTATAGTAAAATATTTTGTCTTACAATAATTAAATTATTACCACATATTGAGCTATGTTCGAAAAGGTTTTTTCCAGTTCATATAAAAATAAATAAGTTACATTTTGATCATTACATAATATGTATGTAAACGAATAAAACTTAATACATTTATATCTTTTTAATTTATCACAAACAGTTTTTTCTAATATTGTATTCATTAACCGTCATACTCGAACATATTTTAATTTGTATAAATTATAAAATATAGTACCTATAGAAAACCATTGTTTTAACTTTCTCCAAGCTTATGCAGTTTATACTTAATACACAATTATTAGAATTATTTTTACAAAAGCGCTGCAACATGGATACCTATACTAAATATTATATATATGATAGATACAGTGAACCATCTCTTTCGGCGTAACAAGATGTGTGCTCTGGAATTAAAATGTAGCACACTCCTGTTATGCCGACGGAGACGGTTTGCAACCTCGACGTCGACGAACAGCTCATGTAACATACACGCACACACGCCTTTGTATAACCGACGGTTCAACCTGCAAGGAGCCGAAATTGGCGAATGTCATGTCTCGATATAATATATTTTATTTATGTTTAATTTACAAAAACACTATTCTAATATTGTATTCACGTTTCACGTCGTCTCGTGCAGCATGTCGCGATTATATTTTGATGTGTGCTTGTCATTTTACCTACACGTACTAGATAATATTATATCTTTTTTTTTTTTATTTATTTAAAAATTTACAATCTATATACAAGTTAATATAATAAGTAAATGTGTTGATAGTTACTAGACGTGAACACTTGAAGGAAGGGAATAATATTACATCCATACATAATAAACTAACGAAAAGATTGAACTACTAGTCATTGAAAACGCTACTAAAATTTTAAAACTTTTTCAAACTAAAATAATTTAATCGATTATGTACATTATGGCGCATCATACGGTTTACTGTTGTGACCGATCGATCGCAACAGTCAACAGTCATTAACAATAATTGTTAATGGAAATTAATAGTAGATACTGACAATAGGAATTAATCATAAAATTTAAATAAATCGTCCTTGAAGAATACCTATAATCGGGTATCGCCGCGTCGGAAAGCTCTGTCCACCTTAAGCGAACCGATCAAACAGTTCTATTCCGAATCGTCTATGCCCTGAGACGTACGACGACAAGAGTTTTGTTGCGAAAATAATCGCGTTTACTTCTTATTAGAGTGTTGTTTTTTTTTCTCAATTACATATTATCGTTCATTACAACCTTATTTTTGTCGTTTGCAGAGTCGGTACTTCGATTGCGAGTACGATCAAGAGAACGAACAGGAGAAGACGGACGGTGGTCTCGGGGCCGGTACGCCAATGTTCTTGTCAGAAGTCATGCACGGGTCCACTTGCACGTTAATTTAATGCATATTTTTCACACGATAGATTTGTTATTTTTTTATGAAATATCTTGTCGTCATGGCAATTATTATTATGTGTGTACCTACTAATGACAGCCCAACGATACTATACATAATATTATATATTTATATTGTTTTGCGTAATGACACATGTTTGATTACATTGCCCAGGGCCTTACTATTATTATATTGTATTAACGGACATTTTAAACCAGGCTATGAACATTTTGCCGCATAAAAAAAAAACCTCCACAAAGCCTGTCTTATTTTTAAAGTTGACCTTCTTATATGTGTTCTTAATTTTTTTACATTTACTAAAAACATATTATTTTATAATAATACCAATTTACCTATGTATTTATATAATATCATAAGTTACTAATTAAATCTAAACGGTTATTATCTATTAACTATAAATCAATTCTACAACATAATTATTGACAATGCATTAAAATAAAAATTATTAAAAATTATTAATTTGTTTGTTGGTTTTTATTTTCCATTTAAAATTTTTAAAAAACATATCAAAATTAACATAAATAATGTTGTGGTAAATAACAAATCAACTTGAATTTAAATTTTGGTTACAATGTTTTGAATTGATAATTAAATTTATTTTATAAATCACAACACGATCTTATTGCAATGAAAAGTAAAACAACCTTAAAAAAATTATCTTAATTAAATAATAAGTCATTAATTACATAGAAAAAAAAAAATTATTAAGGTAAATTTTTTGTACAGATGATTAATCTGTACAGAAAAAATACATTTTTACTATTATCTTATTCATAAGAGGTATCAATTATATTTTAACACAGTTGTAATAATTAATGAAATCTCCTAATTATATACATAGTATTATTTATTTATTTCTGCTCTTATTTCCAAGGTTCAATAGAATTTTTTAGCTTGTGATTCTTTACTGTTCCTGTAACAAAAAAAAAACAATTATTTAGCTAATACACACACTAGATATCAAATGTTTGATATTCGAATTAAAATTACATCAACAGTAATCAGAAATGGAAATATTGTTTAATTTTATGATATTAAGTAATGTATTCATTCTACAGTAAAATTATTAAGATTAAATTTGGATAGTAACATATTCAGAATCTAGACATAGTTGAAACGGTAGAACAGGGATCGCCAACTAATTTCTATGGGGGTCCATTTTGAAACTTACTAAACTTTCTGTAGTCCAAACAGTTTCAATAACTTTTACACATGTTAATGAATTACTTAAATAATTTTTTTATCATGTAACACAAATTGTATATAGCACATTTATAGTTTCTATATTTATATTATACTAATTTAAAAACTACTCTGTGAATAAGGGTCCATAAAAAAAGTTCATGGTTCGTATCAGGACCGCAGTCCGTTAATTAGTGACCCTTACAATAGAATATGTAGGAATATGTAAAGACAAACATTTAGCGGAGGCCTTTTTTTACTTTTTTGAAATCAGAAAATTTAATTAAAAGCAAATGATATTTGTATGAAGTAATTTTAATCTTCTTTTAGATTTTGAGTCATAACTTTAAATTAAGAATACCATATATTGTCCATTTAGCTGAAGCTAACATTTTTTTAGCCAACACAAATCACAATAAAATATGTTACATTTCTAAGGTAAGAACTAATTTAATGTCATAAATCAGAATGAATAATCAACAAAATTTCAACAAGTAATAGCTGATAACAAAAACTGCCGTGATAGAACAAAAAAACAATGAACATATTCATCAATAATTTATCACCAAACCAAAGACATTTTGTCAGCCAATAAAATAATAAACTTTTTCATTTTATCATTTAAACAATATATTTTTTTTTGTTTTACTAAAAAATAGTGTTTAATCTTTATATGGTATTTATACATTTGTGATATAATATTTAGCAAAACTTTGAGAAATATCCTTGTGAAATATCTTATAATTTTGTACAAGTTACACTAGAACCGTAAGCTTATTAGAAGACTGATAAACTATATAACCTGTTATATTCATAAAATGGATTATTTTCATATCAATAGGCCAAAATTAAAGGAAACATCTACTAACTCAGCAGTTTAAAACTCTTTTGGTCTACGCATCCTTAAGTATAAAAAAATGTAATTACATTATATAATTCAAATGATGATTAATTCCCCAAACCTCCAACAGGATATACCACTAATTTTAAATATCTATTAACATTGTCTTAACTTACTTATAAATAGTGTAGACAATAAATAATAATGTTTGGCTCACTGCAGCAACCAAAACAATTGTATTGGTTGCACAAGTAGGACATGATAATTGTTGTGAATACCCAGCTTTCTGTGCAGATTCCCGTTTGATTGTATTCAATGAGTCTCTGATTTCATGCATTATTGATGCTTGGTCATAGCCTAATGGTTGAACTTGAGCTGTTGGTTGATGAGCTTGGTTTTTAATTATGTTTTCAGTCTTTGAATATACTTCTGCCATTAAGTTCCTATAAAAAGTATAGATTTAATTTAATTTTTAATGGAACTTTTGAGATATGATTAATAAACATTAATCCCGATAATATTAGTTCAAATAAATAAAATTGCTATCACAACTTATGAAACTCACTCATACAACTGATAAAACAATTTACCATTTATCACTGAGATAAATAACATTATAATTTATATCAATGCCAGCTACTTTAAAATTATAACACTATTTTATTTCTTTTTGATAACAAAAAATAAAGAAGTTTTAATAGTAACCACAATTTTAAATAATATATAACTTGTTAAATATTTAAAATATAAAATAATACCTAACTTCTCTCACAGAGTTGATGATACCATTTTGGTTGTTTATCAATACATCAACATCTTGTCTTCCCATTCCTGCATTTCCTTGTGGAATTTGTACTATATTATAAATACACAAAAAATATCAATACATTTATACAAATAATTATTAAAAATGTATTACCATTAGGTTGTCCTTGTACACCACCCAATGATCCAACAACCGCCATAGTTGATTGAACAGTAGATAACAAACTGAGTGTTCGTTCCTGACGACCGACTACTTCATCTAGTTTTTGGCTTAATACTTTTACAGAATCTGCAATCTGACTTTGACCAGAGAATATCTGATTTAATTCTCTTTGACTATCTGTTTCATACCAATCTTCAAACTCGTTATCTTCTCTAGTTTTAGTTTCTGGATGCTGCTTATGATAACTAAATAATAAACAAATAAATATAAATAAATAAAAAATATACCATACTATTAATGTAAATACAGTCTAAACAATAAAGCTTAAAAACATTTCAATTTAATAAAAATATGTGTTAAAAAACTTATTACTATTTATACGCATGATTTCTGTGCTTAAGAGGACGCAGCACCTGCTTGTGTAATCTCTTCTTACGTACATACAACATAGTAAATTTTCGTTCAACATAATTAATTTTATGTTGTTAGCTTTGATATTAAAGTAAATTAATCTATTATCAAACTTTAAGGTAAGAATTTTATCTAGGCCATCACCCATCACATAGGATTTTATTGATATTTTAATTTTAAACTGAGTTATGTAAAATATATAGCTATGTAAAATATTAAAACTTTTTAAAATGCTCATAACTTACTTTGAAATTATAATATAAATAAAAGCCTATGTAATGACCAAAATAAAATTCTTACCTTTAAGTTTGATAATGAAGTAAATTTACTCTAATATTAAAGCTAACAACATAAAATAGATTCTGCTGAATGAAAATTTGCTTTATTGTATGTATGTAAGACGGAGATAACACATGCGGGTGTGGTGTTTTCTTGAGACAAGGTTTGATTTACCGAGAGTAAATTAGTACTTATTAAATATCTTACTCTTCTTTTTCTTGATCTAATTTACGTTGGTAATCTGCATACTCTCTGGTTAATTTATTTTCTTCATCTGATGTCTGCTGAGATGTACTAGCTGATTTAAATGTTGTTCCCGGTGGATAAACACTATATGTCAAAAAATGATGAACATCATGATCATCTGAAATATAAAATTGTTTTTAATAACTAACCTATTTTATACATTAAAGAATTAAAAATTATTCTGTTAAAAAAACAATACACAACCTGCAAGACCTCCAGTAGCAGCAGACACACCAAAATAACCATTCTTAGGTAGAAAAACATTTTCACTTCGGAAGCAAATTTCAAAGTCCTTTTCGTTATTAGTATTGCCACTATGGAAAAATATCTTAACAAATAAAAGCAATTATTTATTATTTCAATTTTTAGTTATTAATTTATTGATTTATAGACTAGAAACTAGTAAATTATTAGATATATTATTTTTTTATTTGAAATCTATATTAAAAGAATGTTATACCCACATGTGTTGTCTCTGTTTTATTAACGTACATCATACCAAATTTGCATTCAACAGAATACATTTTATGTTCTTAATTTTAATATTGGAGTCAATTTACCTATTATTAAACTTAAAGGTAAGAATAATATTTCATATGCTTTTATTGAAATATCATTTTAAAGTGAGTTAAGAACATTTTAAAAATGTAATATTTTACATAGCTATAACTTACTTTAAATGATAATATCAATAAAAGCATAAAACATGCAGATATGTTTTCTTAAATTATACAATCAATAAATTTGATAAGAGAATAGGATAGATTCTTTTTAGAATGATTTTTTAAATATAATTAATTTTTTTGGGAAAGAAGCATTGAGAAGAAGCTTAAGGGGTGGTATGATAACTTATTTACTCAGAGTAAGATTATAAATGTGTATTTAAAAATAGTATTGCCTATTTTTTTGATAAGTTTTTAAAAATAATGTTAATTGTTATGTTATGTCTAGGTACTTATTTGTTGAGTCATTTCTTAACTATAAATATTAATTCTGGAGGTATTGTGTGCTTAGTTGGGTAAGGTATTGGAAAAGGTTGATCAATATATGTTCTATTTAATGGGATGTTCATTATCATTTATATCAAAAAGTGGTTGGAAGTTTTCTTCTAGCATATGTATTTGTTTATACAATAAATAAACCGTGTTTGAACATTGAAAAAAATAATTAATACAATAAAAACAATAATATAAAACATTATTTTGTTGTTTAATAATGTATTAAATATACTAAGTTGTGTTATTGCATAAAGTTATAATTTATAATCAAACAAAACTAAAATAAGGTACTGAAACTGGAGTTGTATGAACAATAAAGATGGGTATTTTTGTTTTTGAAATCAATAAGTAAGAATTAGCTATAGAACGCATAGAATAAGATGACCAGTGAGAAGCTTAATGAATTCAAAAAAATGATTAACTATAATATTGTGTAATAGTGCTATTATTTATTGATAAAATATTACTTGTTTGGTATCAGAAATAGTTGTAGTAATATTGTGTATTAACTATACTGTGTTATTTTTATATTTTTATATTATTTTAACCAGAACTATAACTTAAACACATTAATGACTTTTTTTTTATAGTGCTCTTTTACAAATTTTGGCAAAAGATTTTTATTATTTCTCTACCATGGTATTAATAGAATATTGTCCACACTTAAATCTCATTTTTTTTAAACACATAACTTAGTATACTTTACATTCAGAAGAATCCATTATATTCTTTAATTTTTAATATTAGAGTGAATTATTAATTATTTACAATTTAAAGATAAGAATATTCGGTGCTAGTTTGGTATGCGCTCTACAAGTTTTGTTGTTCTACACTCGATCTACGTTTGGTACCAGAATATTAGACAATAACAATCAGCCTCGTTTTTATATATGATATGTTAGGTTTTTCTTTTGATTTTATTATCTTATCTTTGATTGTCTTTACCTTAAATTCTATTACCTACTGTAAGTTTTATTGCAGTCGTTTTCTAGTATTCACAAATATTGTTACAAATAAAATATTTTATTTTTATATAATATTTTTTTTTTTTTTTTGTATATTACTTGGTTAATTGAGATGGCTGTGATGATATTTCACAAATTTTATAGTACAGTAGTGGTAAATGAGATCGAGTGTCATTGGTTTCTAGTAGAGAAAGAATTGTTGAAAAGTGCCGAAGACATCGCCCCCTGTTATAAATGCGACACAGAAATGCAAGTCAAACGTCGGAAATGCTGTAATGGGGAGTGGATGGTCATTTTTCGGTGTACAAAACAAGGTTGTCAGATAACAAGATTGGCACGTGCTGGCAGCAGATTTTTTCATTTTACTGACTTGAACCAACGTTTCAATAGTGGGTTAACACTTTGTCAAATCGTTGAACTTGTATTTATGTTTGTATTGGAATTACCCACACAAATGGTAATGGATCGGACAGGAAGAAGCAAGGAGCGTGTTTAACCGACTGGTTTAATAGTTGCCGAGAAGTATGCTCAGCTGTTTTGAAGACTAAAAGAAAAATGGTTGGAAATGCACAAAATCCAATTCAAATTGACGAAGCTCGTTTCGCTGGCCAAAGGAAGTACAATAGGGGTAGATTATTAATTGGAGATGCTCCTCCCTTCTCAACAGATATAAATGCTGAAGTTATTAATAACCGAAATCATGGTGCACGTGTAGATGGCTCCTGGGTATTTGACTTAAAAAATGAAAACGATTGCCGTTATTTTTATGTTCATTGATGCGATAGACAAACACTTTTACTGATAATAGAACATGAATGTGAGGTAGGATAAGAAATTCATTCTGATGAATGGCCTGCATATAGGTGTCTCATAAGCCGTGGTTTTGTACATAAAACAGTAAATCACCAAATGTCATGTGTTGTGCCAATACAGGAGCTCACACTCAAAACATTGAGAGATTATAGTTGGACGCAAAAATTAAATTATTAAAGAAAATGAGGCGTGCTCCTTTAAATCATTTGCAGTCTCATTTTGATTACTATTGCTGGCGGCTTTACCATCAAAACAGGTCGGATCTTTTTCTCGCCATGCTAGAAGACATCCAGAATGTGAATGAAAGCCAGTAATAAAAAGAACATATGTATAGCGCATACTGAACCAGAAACTAGTCTGTAGAGTGCATATCGAAACAGAAACTTGTCTGTAGAGCGCATATCAAACTAGCACCGAATATTCTCTATTAAAGCATCTAAAAAATTAATTTACTCTAATATTAAAAATAACTGATTAAAATAGATTTTTTTGAACGTTAAATTTGCTATGTTATGACTATATAAGTTAATAAAGACTCAGTCAACACATATGGGGACAAATTCCTCTGTAGTATAGACAAACAACAATACATACTGTTAATGTGTTCATATAATATTCAATTTTAGCTCTTGTCGCATAAGGTTTATTTCTAAAATCTCTCAAACATCCAGATAACTGTTGAGTAGAACCATCACTAAAAAGAAAAAAAACATGGTAAATAAATTACTAATTCCATAAATTAATTGGTTAATTTACTTTGCATGGTCAAAAACTTGTGTTCCATCATTTACTACTCCCATAATATATGGATTATTGTGTTTGCCATCATTGTCGAAAGAATCAAAAAATACTCCTAATCCAACCCATTTGTCAGAGCTACCAAATACTGGACCATTATAATCACCTTTAGAAGTTGTGTACCAAAATGCCTGTTTAAAATCATGTTTTAATATTAAAATAAAAGCCACAATATAAAAAATGTACTATAGTATACGTAACGTACCAGGCCATCAGCACCAATTCTACCTCTTCCGCTGACTCTAAAATTAATTTCAACTGTCCACCAATCAAACTTTGTTTGACTTTTTGTCCAAATTGCACCTACAAAAAAAATTATATTTTCAATTCTACATTAATATAAGTTGATAATAATGAAACATGTGTTTCTAACTGACTTAATTTTAAAAATCTATATTTTATAATTTATGTATTCAAAGATAAAAAAAATAAATTAGTAAAAAAAATACTATCAAAAAACTATTTTAGTTATTAAATTATAGGATGAAAACATTTTATTTATTTTTTTTTAGATAAATTTATATTAAAAAAAAAGAGCTCATTACTACAATTTTTAACTTTTTATTATAAAATGCATTTAAAAGGTTTACACAACTTTACTATTCATAACATAATCTTTGTCAAACATAAATTATATAAATATAACAAAATGTAAAACGTTTAATTTGAAATTTTATCATTAAATAAAACTATATAATTTTCTTACAGTTATGAATACTCATTAAATACTACTGCAAATTTTTTAAATAGTAATATTATTGTTAATAAAATAAAATAAACTTCATATCGTAATTATACTATAAGAATAAATATAAATTATACTATAATAAATTAGATAAGAACAAACCTTTTTGACTTTTTAAAGACGGCGCAATTCGAACATTATCTGCACTGGCAATAGCATCTATAATATAAAATAAAAACAAAATTCTAACTCATAATAAATTATTAACAAAAATTATAACAAATTTGCATAAGGATAGACTGTGTATGAGTGATTTAAAATCGATTTAAACTTCTCATTTTTACTAAAGCATTTAAAAATAAAGCACACTGGAAAGTATTTTAAAATGTAAATACATATCTACCACTATGATGTTTTTTTTGTTAACTGTATTTTTTGATACTTTTGATAATTTTGTTGAGATAATAATTTTAAAATTTATGAATGTCTCCTTTAATAAATGTTTGAATGTGTATCAGACAATCAACTGTATTACAAAGATATCTCATATTAATATTAATTAGTAGGTACGAACTATGTAGATATGATTTTTTGTAAAAAAGTGTTTTAAAATTATTGTTATTTTTTACAATCACTTAACAATAAATAAGCTTTAAAAGTTTTTTATTTAATATGTTTTTCGCTACAAACATTTTAAGTGCAAATTGTTAATTTTAGAAAAAAAATATCAATAGCTTCTCGAGTGCAAGCATACTGTACAGTTATTACCAGCTATCGGTAGGACATAGAGATTACAGAAGCTGTTTCTAGGATTCGTTACCAAATATAATGTGATCAGACGTACATGAATCGTTCAGTGTGGGAAATAATCAATTAATCGACATAAAAACCTATGTACACAAAGAAAAATATTAAACAGAGACGAGGGGAAAAGCAGAGGTAAACCACAATCACGTACTTCCGCCGTACTCCCAGAACGGCACGGATCCGTCCTTTTGCGCCAAATACGGAGGTTTGAAACTGTACTTGTACTCGAACCGGGACACGATCTGGTCGCAGCTGCCGACGTCGACATGGCCCGACAACAAGACGAACACGGCGGATACCACCGACAGTGGCAGACGAGACTGCGGCGACATGACGTTACCGAAAAACACAGCTGTAGCGTTCGTCGGTCAGACGACAAGCCTTTGGGTACGCGCTCACGACCGGACTGCGACGGGTGCTATGGACGATTATCTCTGTACGCTCAAAAGTCAAAAGTCTCGTTCGCGGCGCGGATCAATCACAACGGTGTCATCGGTAAAATTGTGTCGTTGGCATAATATCGTCGTCGTCTTCGTCGTTGTTGTTATTATTATTATCGTTACTAACGGTTTCGGCGCGCCGACGATTACACGTTGGAAGTTTCACGGTACCTATTATTATTATTATTATTATTACGACATGATATCGAGAATAATATTATAAGCGGCTACAGTATTATCACTATTATATACCTATACCGAATAATACGTGCCGCACGATCGTTGGAACCAGTGGTCGCCGCCGGACGCGGAAACGTAGTACGTACCCGTGATATCAACGAAAACAATATGAGACTGTTGTTATCAAAATGACCGCTTCTGCCACATCGGCAAGTCGTCGTCGCGCACCTCGCCGACGGCTAACTGATAAGCGACTCCGACGTACGTGTCCGATCCGAATTCACGGACGCTACCGACAAGACGCCGCCGCCGACCTCCCGGTCGAGCTGTGTCGTCTACGGTTCGGCTCGCGCGCGCCAACTCGTCGAGACGTTCAAATCGAATAAAGTCGCAAACATTTTGCAGATAAAAGTTGGGATTTTGATGCAAAGGCGTTTTTCTTCTGCTGTTTCGAAATGTTGGTTTGTAAGTATAAAACGTCTTTTGGGCAATGCTGATTATTTTAAAGCAATTTTTTTTTTTTTGCATCTTTTTGTATTTTTTGACTAAATTAACCTTAAATGGATTTATAGAACATTTTTGACATTTTTAGTGCATATTCATTATTTGTAGAACATTTATCACAATTTTTTCATAAATTAACGAAAATTGTTGCGATTAACAAGAGACTTTTAACGAATTGCCGACGCTACGAATAATAAATTATATAACACGACATAAGTTATTGTTGATAACAAATATTTTCTCATAGATAGGCCTTTTTGCTAATGATTAAGAAAAAAACAAAAGATCATTTAACTAAACACATAACAACGTATTACACAATTAAAAAAAAAAAAAAAACAAAAATTGAAAAAATACACTATTGTATAGTATTATTTTTAAATTTTTTCCAATTTTTAAGCTATAGCAAATAAATTTGAATGCATTTTTATAGTACAGTTTTTGAGTTTTTTAAGTCATTTTTTGAAACTTTTTAGGATATTATAATCTTAACCCTAATTATAATACTACTTTGGTACCTACTATTGTTTCATATTCGTTTTCGGTGCGCGTTTCTATTGTGATGCAGTTACTTAGTCTAGAATATAATTATTATACTAACTGTATCAACACAAGACGAAAACATTTACGATACTAATAAACGAAATAGACGAATTGACCTCAACTGATGTTATATTCGGCGTATAATTAATTACCAACTGACTATATTTTTCATTACACACAAATAAAAGGAAAAATACACAGTAGATAAATAATTAAATTATTTATATTTAATTGTTTTAATTTTTTTTTTTCAATTTTTAAAAAATTAATTTTAATTAGTGTATAGTACTTATGTATAAAATATTATTTTCTGTGTCACACATTATTGTTTTAATTTTTTTTTTTTTAATTAAATACGTGAAATTTGTACTGATTGCTTTTCTATACAACTAAGCTATGTTATGAATGGTTATTGAAAAACATGCAAACTTCTATAAGTCTCCAGCTTTAATTATAAACCATAGCACATTGAGCGTAGGAACGCGTGCATAAATTGAATAAATAGTTTTTTTTACGCTGTATTCGGTATGTATAAAGCATCGTTAAAAGCATTTCGTACAGTGTATAGGTACAATTTATTATAGTAGATAATAAAGTGACATAAAGTTACACTCCAATCCTATTGAGCAGCAAAACGGTTATGTACTTTCCACCCTTTTTTAAACATTTTTTTTTCAATAATAATTGTTAGTAGAAAACTTTTTGCTAAGTAAAAACAGACACAAAAAAAATGTTGAGTGTAAATCCACAGTAAGTTTTTATGAGTGTTGGAAGTTGAAATTTTATATAAATCGCGAAAATTTGCATATTATTTCGTAGTTAAAAATGTAAAACATAATTTTTTATATTCATCCCTAAGGTATGAAAATTTAAAATAATTTTCTTAATAAATTGTTATAATTAAAATTTAAAAAAAAAGTTAGCATAAGAATTAATTTATTTTATTTGAGTGTCTGAATGTATATTAACAGTTAATGAAATTGGATACTCACGCGTAAAATAACAATTTCTTATCAAAAAACTATTTTGTTTTATTTTAATTCAAAAATGAATAACTTTAGATGCTTTAAATTTTTACTAAAAGTTTATATTAACATTTTCCCCACACGGTATAATAATATATTTCGACTCTTTTTGAGATATTTATAAATAATTGAAAATATCGATTTTCTTAGATTATCTTTTTTATATATTTTTGTATAATTTTCTATACATTGCTGTGTAAAGATAATTGCTTGGTCAAAAAACTTAAAATTTTAACACAAGGTTTCTTATGAGTTATTACTATAGCTAATTATTTTAAAATATATAAGATTAAATGACACGATTTTTTTTTTTTTTTACACGAAGATTAAATTTCGATAAAATACGTTAAAATTTGTATACAATTAAATGTTTATTTTTATAATTTATAACTAAGAATTGAAAATTTGATCAAGTTTCAATATAAGTAAAAAAAAAATCAAAAAATCTAGATAATTTTATGAAAAAAATTTATTTTTATAGACATTAAAGTTCAAATTTGGATGAGATTAGATGTTTAAAAGAAGGCTACCTAATAATTTTTGTTATTTTCTTTATTTACAAAATATTGTTTTCAGTTTTTTTGAAACTTATACAGGCATTATTATATTTTATACTGCAATATCATTTTAAAACATTTAGAACTCTTTTTTGGTACCTATTGCAAATTTACAGCAGCCTATTCACACCTCGATTTTACGATAAATCGATGTTGACTCAAAAGTTAATAATGATAATATATTACATAAATATATACCTACAATATTTTATAATAATTACATAAAAATATAAAATACAAAGTTTTAAAGGAGTTAAAAGCTTAGCATTAGAATATGAGTCAGACATCAAAAAAGCATAGATGACGATGTCGTATTTAAAAAAATGCTTATAAAATTTGACTAAAAGTTTACTACGTTAAAATATCAATTAACATATGGGATTGGGAATCCAAAGAACTTGTTTGATCTTGGCAGCTTTTGTAGTTCAAGTATCGGTCTGTTGTATTTTTTCGTATTACTGATATTATTATATAGTTATATAATTTAGCTAATGAGGTGAAGACCGATCTAGTATTTAATAAAAATATTACTCTTATTTTATAATATCTTAATGGTTAATTTTTTCATCAAAGGTTTTTCACTGTGTTAATTTAGAGGCACCAGCTCAAGTTCCAATTGACTTAGATACAGTTGAAGTTGAACAAACAATTTCAAATTTGCAAGTAATAAACAAATTAGTAAGTAAAAGTACCACTAATATTATTATTTTAAGTATAATATTATTAATTTATTATAATAAAAACTAAGTTTGGTATTATATTTATTTTTTTAAAAATTGTGGTTATTTATGAATACACAAAGGCTGCGTAATGCGTATAAATGAAATATAGCACTGTTTCAAAATAATGATAAATATACAAAAAATGTATTGATAATGAAAAGTGTACAGTATTTAATATTTATGCTGTATAAAAATAGTAGGCTATGCATAATAATAAATTATTATAAATTTTATTACATACACAAATGATTAGGTTCAGTATATTTTTTCGCAAAGTACACAAATACTACGTTAATTAAATACTTATCTAACTAAAATGTGGTAAATTATTTTTAAACGGCAGAACTACACTAAAATAAAACTACGTGTACATGTTATGTTAATTATTATTATAGTTGCCAAACTCGATAGCCAATTAAAGTAACATAAATATATTATAATCGTAGCAACAGTTACCACGAGAATAATACCTACCTATTAGTAACATGCAGACGACCGATTAAAATAGTATAATATAGTCCACAATAGTGGCATAATTTTTATTTCATTATAAAAATTAATTATTATTGTTTTTTAAATAATTATTTTATTTGTCTGCAAATATGACTGGTCCGTGTTGTAGGCTCTACACTATCGCTGTACCGACGCCTAATGATATGATGAAATGAAGAAAAATCTATCTGTAATTATGACAATATTATCTTATTAAACTAAAATATGTCACTGATAATTTATGTTTATTTAAATAATATATTTGTTAATTTAAAAATCATAAATGATTACGCATAAAAAAATGTTTTATCTAGTATTCATTTTATTATACCTATTCAATATTTTGTCGTGTGTTTCTACTTCTTATGTATTGTTCTTCTTGTTTTTTTCTATTTGTAATGTATCCCTTGCTTCCGGAGTAATTGCTATTTGATTATATTTTATTCTATGTTCCGGCTCTAATTTATAAATTCTCATTGTAATATCTGTATTTTGAAACATAAATTTAATCATTTTAAAACCCATTCATTTTTATCTAACCCTAAACAAACCTTGGATTATAGTACTACATTTTTTATATAAATATTCATAAAATATACCAAGGGTGCAAAATAATTTTGCCCTCCCCCCAATGTATTAAATTTTAATGCACCCCTGGATATATTGGATTGTATTGTAGTTTTATATTGTTTAAATATTGCTCAATGATGCTATGAATTATTTATATTTGCTGTATTTTTTTTTAATAATATAGTCTATGTTATAGTTTCTCGATGGAATATAGTTTTTATTAGATTTAATTTGTTCTTCAAAATTTATTTTCCTATTTTAGACAGTTTCATGTAGTATATATTTATATTTACACGTAATCTACTACTGTGGCTGCTGTAGTTTCAACTAGGTATTTAAATAATATGTTCAGTAGTTTCGTTTTCAATTCAGACTGCCACTTATTAAGAAATACATTTTAAAAACTAAATATAATATTGTTAAAATAACAATAATTAATCAACAAAAACCTTTGATTGATTTATGTATTATATTGTATTTAAACAAAAACAATTGTTGATTAATGTTGACCTATATTACCGATTATAATGCATACTGTGGACAAATTCGTTAGGCTGGAATATTCTTT